CAGCCAGAACTTTAATTGCAAAGAACAAACCATGCAGTATTAGAAACTGTAAAAATATGAGCTACCATAAAGAGGGGTAGCTGAGTAAGACTGAATTGAAATATGAGATGCATGAAGTGAAAATGTGTATTTTCACTTTTTAAAAAAATTTAAATTGCATAGTAAAGATTAACAAAGTTTCTATTTACATCATAGCAACTTGTAAGAGTTACAGTTTATACAGGCTACTCAAACGTTAGTTGATTAAAATTTAAGGCTTTTTTTTTTTTAAAGAACAGTTGGACGGCACTGACTTTTGTTTAATCTTTATAGAAACTGAAGCATTTTTAACAAAAGAACAAACAAACTGACAAATGTTTAAACAGACCATGTTTCACTGCACTGCAAAATAAAACATTAGCACTAAAAAGTGAGACTGATAGGAATACGAAGCAAAAGACAATCATATATCCAAATTACAAATTATGCAAATAAGTGTGTATGTCCTTTCATTTATTTACAGAGAATGTATAGTTTCATTTATGCAAATAACAACAATCCCACATGCTTTCTATTTAGATTTCATTTCATCAATAAAACTGGCCGATAAAGCCAGTAAAATCTTAAAATGCATTTTTCAATCCTACTATGTGTTCCACATTCGAGTTGCTGTTCTATGTTGAAATTGTAGAAGTGCCTTTTGCGTAAAATTCTTAATAACACTTTATGTTTTAAATGCTTCTAAATACACGTACAATACTAGTATTTCTAGACTCAAGACTGTAGCAGAGGATCAGCTTTTTGGATAAACCAAGGGAGCCAAACAATGATGCACTGGAACACTCCATTTTTTGCTATGTGATCATATTAAGGCACTGAACCCTCTCATAAATTATTTGCAAAGGTTGCTCATCCTTTGTGTTAAGACATTTTTCCTAATCTACTTCTGAAATATCTGGAGTCATAACTCCTTCGGGGAGGGGGGAGGAGTGCAGTGCGACCCAGTGATGAAAATGGTGGACTGGGAAATCGTAGGTTCAAGTTGACCCTCAGACTGGGAAGCTCACTGGGTGAGTTTGAGCCAGGCATACTCTCTCAGTTCAGCCTACTTATTATTGCGGGCGGGTGTGTGTGTGTGTGTGTGTGGAAATGATAGAGGGAGAACAATGCACGACATGCTTCCCTTGAATGGTGGAAGGGAAATCTAACAAATAAATGAATAAGAGGAAGTGGCAAGTACTACGTGGAATCTAGTGGTGTGGCTAGGTGCAAAGTGGATTATGAAGCCACTAGTTTCCCACAGGTGATGTTTTTCTGGCTAGGCTTGCTGTCCAAGGATGCTATACCTCTGAATCACTAGGAAGTCGCAAAGAGATATTCTGTACCACTATCTATTGTCAACTTTCCTTTCCTCCTTTGATTTATCTCAACTTCGTATGGACATAAATTAGCCGTCAGTTGGTGTGAAACTATGGAGGAACTTCATCAACATTTATGATCTGTCTCAATTCTATTATTAGGTCTTCTTTATCCTCATAAGAATAATGCCAATTGGTTGTTTAACTATCATAGATCTTCTGCTGCTGCAAAAGGTTAAGATGGCTCCATCTGTAACTTACCTTATACTACGATAGTCTCTTTAAAGAGCCAACTGTAACCCATTTCAAACTACACATAGCTATTGATCTCATGCTACTCTTACAACAATAATCCAGCAGCCCGAAGGATAGCAAAACAGGATAGTGCAAGAGTATACCGAGTTATTTGAAATGGCTTTTAAACCCTATAATTTAAGAGTACTTTCCCCCTAGTTCCACTGAAATACTACCCATAAGTCTACGTTGCTATTAATCAATCAAAAATAAGATGGATGAGGTACAGGATACTTGAACTTAAATTTCTGCAATATTTTTAAACAGATAATCCAGCAATATTGTCATGTAGCAATGTATTAAAATGCATTTTCATGTGCTTAATTACAGGTAGCCCTCGAATTACAACAGTTCACTTAGTGACTGTTCGAAGTTACAATGACATTGAGAAAAGTGACTTATGACCATTTTTCACACTTACTTTCCACGGTCACGTGACTTAATATTCGGATGCTTGGCAACTAACTCACATTTATGACAGCTGCAGTGTCCTGGGATCATGTGATCACCTTTTGCAACCTTCTGACAAGCAAAGTCGATGAGGAAACCAGATTCACATAACAACCATGTTACTAATTTAACAGCTGCAGTGATTCACTTAACAAATGTGGCAAGCAAAGCCGTAAAATGGGGGCAAAACTCACTTAACAAATTTCTCACTTAGCAACATAAATTTTAGGCTCAATTGTGGTCATAAATTGAGGACTACCTGCATACTTTTCCCCAATTAATTCAACACTTATGATGTGCAAATATTTAGCGACAGATCTTTCCTGCTTTAAAAAGAGACATGATGTAACAGTGTTTCCATCAAAGCAGACAAATTGGGAGAATATTTAGCTTCATTGCATCACTTTAAAGAACTGACAAGTCTCTTTAAGCTCACAGTACAATTAGTCATTAGGGCCTAGTTTTCTAGCACTGTTAAGCAATTTGTAATAACCCTTTTGTTTTAATAGGGTTAGGCATTACTTACAAGACACAGCTGTCTAGAAAACTGAAACCTCTCGTTGTGAAGCAACGGTCTTGTTCATTTGGCTGCATGATAGTCAAATCAGCTCTAAAGCTATGGTTTAATGGCCTGCCGATGAATAATCAATGGATCACTTTTCATCTGAGTGTGAAAATGAGAATAATCTAATTCACTGTCCCTTTGGTAAGATGCAAAGCCTAGGGTTCTATTTCTATTCAGGGGCTGATTTATAACCCAATGGAAATCTGATGTAAACATATAATCAATGAGTCCCATCATTGTTGATAACCGCCCCCAACTGGCTCACTCCCTCATCTCAAAGAGCCATCCCTTTAGGCTATTAGCTTTATCCAGCTAAGTCTTTCTACTACTCCTGCCTGCTGCTTTTACCTTGCCCATTTGTTCAGACCAGCAGAGTCAGAAGTAATTTTATACGCAGCAGAGAGCGGGTAGAATTGATTTTTCACTCAGCACTCAGTTCCCATCTGAATAATTATCAATTTTACTGCCTCATAAAGGGAAGAGTCAAAATTTCAAATCAATTCAAAAGAGCTTCTGAGAGTAGAGAAACTGTACAGAAGGAGAGAGGTCAAAATTGGCAATGACCTCGGGAGATGATGTCAGGTATTAGTACACTGAATGGTTGACATCAGAAGCACTCAATGCAGTGTGACTTGTGCTAATGCAAATCATATTTATGCTGACTACTGGAGACTGGTCATAAATATTTAAAAGAGTACCTGAAAGCCTACATTCAAACTAAATATAATGTATTCCACAGATTGCGAAGCTAATAAAGACATATCATACCTTATTCATATGCTATAAATTTTAGGATTGCAAAGTATCATTGACACAAAATAGAACATTAAGGTCATAAGAACAGCAAATGTAGGAAAATCTGGGTTTGAGGCCAACGTACCTGATCTTCCTGATTACACAGCTGAACTTTAGAGTGAGGTTGTAATGCTGGGCAACAGGCAAATGTGAAATACATTTCTAGGTTCTCATCAACTTTTATTCTACTTGAATAGAGTGATTACTCCAGGAAGTTGCAATATAAAACAGTGATGGCAATGAATCACCGAGGATAGTAATAACGGTCCTATACATACTTAAATATTATGCTATGTATTACTTCTCAATTTATTTAGAGGCAAAGATCACCCAAAGTAATCGCAGCAATAAATAAGAAGGATAAATCTTGTACACTTAAATGGCAACCATATTGCTGGTACCTCATCATCAGCACAATCTTCAGGTTACTGAAGATCATGAGAACTCTACAAATGTTACTGTGATTTGATTACATCCATAAATTTAAGCAGTTATTTCAGGGAGATCCTTGCTAACAGGGATCTACTTAAAATGCTGACCCGTCTGTTATTTGGAAGCACATTAAATCTTTTATCAAAGTACATTCTATCTCCTATTAGTATTAGAGAAGCGCAATTCCAATTGATGTTTTATTTTCTCATGATATTTTCATTATTCTAGCAAAAAACTATTTTGAAAACAAGATAATATGAAAATACTTTAATGTCAGGGAATCATTAAGTTTAAAAGCACCACTGGCTACTCTGTCCAACCCCTTGCTCAATGCAGAAATCTAAATTAAAGAAACCCCACTAAATGTCAATCCAGTCTTCATTGGAAGACATCTAACAATGCTAGTTTTTGTTGCTACAAGTTGACTTTTTAAAAAACTGACAACTATATGCCCAATAAACTGGGCAATGCTTCAGATCTGACTCCAAAATATGGCTTCAGTGCATGAAAGAGCAATAATAAAGCACTTGGCAACTCATCGAAGCAGCTGCTTCTGTTTCCTCGCAATTCTGGAAACAAAAATATTTGCTTTAAAGAGTCACTGACAAATACTTTATTCATGCATTGGTGTGCTCCAAAGCAGTTTTTCAAAACTGATTCAAAGTAGTGCATGCCACAATGCATAAACAATTGCCCTTATAGGGAAGATACAAAAAGCTTTGATAAATCTATACAGTATTCAAAATGCAGCCATCTATCTGATTAGAAAGGCTTAAAAAAGGCTTCTTTTAACATTTTCAGCCTGTTATAATGCTTTTTTTCACCACTACAGTATTCACTGTCAACATTTTCACTGACTATTCCACCCAAAGACAGTTATATTCCATTGTATGTAAATGCTTCTAAAATTCTATAATCTCATCAGTTCATTGACGTATTCCTGGGTCACTGAACTCACACAACTGAGATGCTTTGTGGGACAATGCAGAACTTACGGGGCTGACTGAAATGGGTTCACTAGTAACTGCAGTGGTAAAACTTAGAGAATTGCATTATTAAATGTAAAAAAAAATCTTTTAAAAAGAAAGTTCAGAAAGACAAAGGCAAAATAGTGTTTTTGAGTTTACCTGCTGCAGCACCTCAGAGTTTTGCTGCATGAAATGCAGTAATCTTTGCCCGTCTTGGGAAATCTCCCTGATTCTCAGGGGTTTCTTTCCTTCTTTTGCTATGTGCTTGAAGAGATAGGTAACAATGTAGTCCAAACTTGCACAACAGCTAGAGGAGACAATCGTATCTGAACATTAAAAGAAAAGGAAACACAACATTGCAATTTCTGAAATAATTTCACTATCAACAACCTACATAGAAATGGGATTATAGAACTATAATAAGGGTAGATGGGACTGTTGCTCTTACTCTGTTGTTATAACATATTCCAAGTAGATTTCGCTATGACAATCCCTTATCTTTCACTCTACTGCAGCACAGAGAGAGCTTTTACACCCTACTGGCTGGTGTTCTGCCTGGTTTTACGCACTCCTGCTGGCTGTTACAAATTCAAGGACTCCAGCTGTTTCCTTATTGCTATGAAATTATGAATTCTGAAGAGTTTGTACTTGGGGAATAAGAAAAAAATGTATTGTTTTTGCAGTTTTAATCTGCATGGTCAGAATAAAAATACATACATAGATTAAATACCTGTGGCATTCACAGATACTTTCAATACCAATACTGAAGAAGTGACTCAAATTTCTCTACCACCATAAATATTAAAAGGTAAAAGATTAATACAATCTGGAGAGAAATCACAATATAAATTGCATTTATATGGAAAACAAAATATCCAGATGACATAAATGTTGGAAAACAAAATGAATAACCAGCCCTCCTTCCCCAAGAAACCAAAAGCAAAACAATTGAAAACCAACCATCCCCCATGAAATATGTAACTTGTAGAGTTTAATTTTTATCATTTGGTTGTTATGAAAATACAAATAAAACATATTTTTAAAAAACTTGTGAGAAATAGAACAGCAAAGGACCACCTTTACTTACGATATTTAAAGCAAAATATTATAACAATAAATTCCTGTTTTTTAATTTACAGTTTGCAAGGTACCCTATTTCCCTCAAAATAAGACATCCCCTGATAATAAGCCCAATTGGGCTTTTGAGTGCATGGCAATACGGCCAAGCATTTATTTCAGGGTTCAAAAAAATATAAGACAGGGTCTTATTTTTGGGGAAACACAGTAATAGGCAACTATTCTGTGCAATACCATAACAGCAAAATAACTGTGGATGTGTTATACAAATCAATCTCAGAATCCACTATTACTCAATGTTTGACAATTTTTAAAGGGAATATTATTTATATTTATACTCATCTCAGCCAGCAGTTTTGATATAAAACATGTGTGAACCACAAACATGTTGTATCACGTTGTTTCAGTACATGCTATTCAGACTGTGCATATTTCTTTTCACTTATTAGCAAGTGATTGCCTGCAACTACTTTGCAATCTTCTAGCTATTCACTTCTTACACTCAGCAACCTTGTCATTCATGGAATATACAAACTTCTTTAAATACATCACAGATTTCTAAAGTATTGTTTCTATTATTAGTTTTAGGAGCAGTCATTCTTTTATACTAGTGGGTATAGTTAAGCACATATTTGTGAAAGGAAAAAATACTTGGAAAGAATACTGATGGTGCAATAGAAATAAAAAGTGTATTTATCAATATTTAGGGGTTCATTCAGCTTCCAGATGAGGACAAAACCACAGCCCTGATTAATACAAATATAGATTATTTACAGATCTTGTATTACTGATTTTGGATTCTTTGTTTGTGAATGATATATACATGTGCACAAGCATTAGTGTTAAAATACTGCTTATCTGAAGGAGATTTGCAAGGTATATGATAGACTCAATTAAGTGTATCCCCTTAAACTGTGATAAGTGGAAGCTTGCCAATATAGCAGTGAGTATTTGAAAACTTCCCTCTAGGCACAGAATGTTGATCTGTGCCAGTTCTGGTTTCTAAATGTTGTTTTGAAGTTTACTTCTCTTTCAACATCACTGCAATATTTTTTTTTTCCTTAGCTAAATTCTCCTGGGATGTTAAGAAAGATTTTGCAGACAATTTTAACCACAATTAGTCTCAAGACTCTCTTCATTTTACCACGTACGAAACATTCCTCTGAATTTCTGACAATCCCCATTTCCACTGGATGCAAACTGAAGCTAATATTTGTCTCTGGTTTCTTCATCTGTAAAATACATCCACTCTGATCCTTTTCAGAATAGGCCACAATAACATGTCTTTTCTATACCATGCTGCTTGGAACGGCGTATGTGATTATCCAATTCAATTATTCAATTATTACACAAAGCTAACAAGGGAAAATTCATAACATTTCTCTTTCTTAATATTTAGATGCATTTGGCTATGTTTTAGATATGCAATATTCAGAATATTGCAAAAAGCAAAATGCAAAATAATGCTAAACCTCTGGTGTCAAAAAATTGCATATGAATTCTATGTCTGTTGTGGGAATCAAGGCACTAGGCCTTGGAATGTTTGTTCCACACCATATCAAAAAGATAAGGTAATGTTGTATTAACAAAAGGTGAGAAAAAGAATTCATGGTTAGTCTCAGTAATCACTTGTGTCCCTATCTACAATATATGTATTGCTTTTGTGAGGAAATACTCAGGTAATAGTTACTCTGGATGTTGAAAGAAAGGAAGTCCAAGTAAAGATTTCCCACAGCAATTCTCTCTCTAAAGAGCATGATTTAATATTTATAAATGCTCAATTGTGCATTTTGCCCAAGAGTTAAATGTTTTAAGTACTCAATAATATGATCAATTTTAATTGTCCACTTTTTTATTTATTAGAATTCATTTACATGGAAGAGCTTGACTTTGCTTTCCACTAAAGTTGAATCATTATTCAAGCAGGCGGGGGAGGGGAGGAGGAGACAGGACAATATCAAATAGCCCTATCCAATCTAATCTGATTCCAAAAAGGGGATGGTAGTTTTCATAGTCGTTCAAGATTAAATGTATTTAATCAGGGGTATCACTGATTCTTTTCCAATATATTCCACAGATCTACTGCAGTACATAATTGAAGGTATTGTAGTGAAACCTTTATACAGATACACAGAGGATGAATTGGTGAAGCTCTGATCCCCTAGTGCAAGCAGGAAAACGTATAGTCCAGATTAAATAAATGTATTAGTTTGTGTGAAAACTATCAGGTTTTCACCTCTCTTGTTTACGTCAGACTCCTCTCTAAATTATGTTAAAATCCTGTACACAGATCTAGAATTGTTTATTTATTTAAGAATATGTGTATGGCCGCCCACTCACTCTCAGCGACTCTCTGTTTATGTGCATATTAAGAAGCATCTGATCCATTATGTTTTCCTTACAAGTTTCTTTCCCTTTGGTCGCACAGGAAAGCAATGAACACTTTGAAAGGTATCTAGAAATGCATATTTCATAAGCATGTTTTGCCGTACTTTTAAATCAATACTTTGACTATTTGTTTGAAAATTGAATAACACAAAGTAAATCACTAACGTCCATTTAAAAACGCTCTAAACATGCTGATACCATACAAGTACGTATTTATTTTCTTCTTTAAGTGATCTTAGCAGTGCAGTGGAGAGGTTTATCTGTTCATGAGGATGCAATTTAAATATTAAGAGCTACTTATATTTCCCCATAACTTTATATCAAAGATGCTTGTGACATTCATTTTTCTTCTCACCGTATGAATGTAACAGGGGAAGATGTTATGCAAGACCCCTATTCTGATTTTAATGGACACAAAGGCATTTGCTGAAGCTGAATAGAATCCTTATTGCATTTTACTCAGGTTAGGTAGACAAGCAGATTAAAGGGAGGAAAACACAGGAGGAGGAGAAAAATGACAATTGTTGCTGTTGGAGAAACAAGCAAGAAAAAGGTGGAATAATGCCTAATATCAACCTGAAATTTATATTTCAACGAATTTCTCTTTTCATGAGAACCAAGGCGTTGCTGTCTAAAAAACTTACTTCGGCATTTTATAAATGTATGTAACTGGAAGAATTATTTGGCAAGTGGCAACACTATTGTGCATGACAGTTTAAGACAGTGGTGAAATGTAAAATTTGTTACTGCCGGTTCTGTGGGCGTGGCTTGGTGGGGGGGGTAATGTGACTGGGTGGGCGTGGCCAACTTTTTTTTTTTTTACACTTTTAAAAGCATTTTTTCTACAACCTCTTCGGCCGAAGAGTTTGTAGAAAAAATGCTTTTAAAAGGCTCTGACGATCCCAGCTGAGCTGCACAATCATCAGAGGCTTTTTTTTTTTTACTTTTAAAAGCATTTGTAGAAAAAATGCTTTTAAATGTAAAAAAAAAAAAAAGCCTCTGATGATCGCATGGCTCAGCTGGGCATGGAGGGGGGCAGGGATTTCTGCTACCGGTTCTCCGAACTGTCCACCGCCATCACTACCGGATCGGGCAATCCGGTCCAAACCGGGAGCATTTCACCCCTGGTTTAAGAGCTTTGTTTTGTTTATGATGAAGGGAAATGATTTAAGTGAAATGCTCTCTGATCTGTTTCCCTTTACCAAAACCCAAATTACCTCTTCTCAAAATACTCAATTTTGAAAGTAAACAAGCCAATCTGTTTAACATTTAATAATAATAGTTTGCAGAAAATATTAAGCTTTCATATTTATTATGAATGGTAGTATATAATCTACAAAAGCTTTACATGGTGATTAGTAAGTAGGTGTCATAAGAGGTAGTCCTTGATTTACAACCCCAATAGAGCCCAAAATTTCTGTTACAGTTGTTAGGTAAGTTTTGCACCGTTTTATGATCTTTTTAGTCACAGTTGTTAAGTAAATCACTGCAGTTGTTAAGTAAATCATGTGGTCATTAAGTGAATCTGATTTCCCTCATTGACTTTGCATGTACGCCACCCAGGGTCTTTGCATTAGATGGGTGGCTACAGAAATGTGATAAAGCAATCAATCCATCAATGCATTCATTGTCTGGAACTATGATACCCACAGTATTTCCATTCACAATTTCTTTTAAAATAAGTTTTAAGATGTAGGTTTTCATATTTTTTTTCTTCTGTTTAATTCATGTTATATTCTATGTCAAACATTTTGGTGAGGCAAGGGGGTAAAACAGCAAAACCTTGTTAAGAAAATGAAATAACAGAAAAATTACTTTAGTAAACGACAAATGCTGACTAACAGTTGTCTTCATTTCTAATAAAACGTAGGATGTCTGTTTCTTACACTACCATTCAACATTTGCACATCCACAAGGCCATTATGTATTTAATACTCACAAAGTATTAGCTACTATTTGTGTACTTCAATTATTTTATGATTTGAGCCAGGGTGAAATCTAAAATTTTTCCCTACCGGTTCTGTGGATGTGGCTTGGTGGGTGTGGCAGGGGAAGGATACTGCAAAATCTTCATTCCCACCCCACTCCAGGGAAAGGATACTGCAAAATCTCCATTCCCACCCCACTCTGGGGCAGCCAGAGATGGTATTTGCCCGTTTTCTGAAGTACTCAAAATTTCCGCTACCGGTTCTCCAGAACCTGTCAGAACCTGCTGGATTTCACCCCTGGATTTGAGGTTTTAAAAATAGTATTTACAGTTTTGTTAATTAAAAAAAAAAGACTGATATTTGGTTTCCTCATTTAACTGTCTTTCAAATATCCAATACCACAACAATAGGAACTGTTATTTTATGTTTACATAAAATATGGATCTATTTTATAGGGAATTGCACTTGGATCAGAAAGCCCATAATTTAATCCCAGCTCACATATTAACTTAATGGAGAATCTGAAACTGCTACCTTGTGGATTGTTTCCATGTTGAATAATTGTAGCAATGGTGACAGGCTTAATCTAAGGATTTAGGAGACAAACAATGGGAGAGGTCTTTCTGACAAAAGAAGTAGAAAAGTGTAAGAAAATGTCACTGAGAAAAGTGATGGAACTGATTTTTGAGGGCAAACTCCATCACTTGGGAGGACTGCAAAATTATATTGATTGTTGTCCTTCATAAACCAATTGGTGTGTGTGTTTGTATATGTGTATGCATGTACTGGTATGTGTGCATGCATGCATATCTACCTCCATTATATATATAAAATGCATATTGTTTTTTTTAAATCTGTACTGAGAGTAATATAGACTTTTTTCCCCTTAAGGATTTTAATCTCTTATGAACGGATTATTTTATTTCAAGGCTTAGAGCAACTGGTTTTCACATTAAAAAATACTGATATCTTCGGTAGATTTATTTTCCATAATTTCATTGAAAATTTAAGTAAACTGTTCTACACTTACACATTACTATGAATCATCCGATCAGTTTTCCTCATAATAGGAACAAAGCATTTTAGTCTATACTATATTATTGGTGTTCTGGAGTATATGCTTCTCATTGGCAAAGACTGCATAATGTTGTGTACTTTTATTGTATTAAGACTTATGGAGCATTATGTTGTAAGTAATTGGAATGTAAAAATGTTTTATGATTCATGTTGTGGTTTACGTTTTTCAAATATTTGGAAATACAACATTAGGAAAGTGTAAAATTCTACATGAATCATAAAACACATTTTTAACAAGTAAGTTTTCAAAGTAATATACCCTTTGTTTAGCTTCCATTGAAAAGAGAGTGTTTTCATTTGAATACCCTGAAAAGAAAAAAGAATATTATTGGACAATACATTTTTAGATTCTTTTCTTTAGCTGAAGATCATGCCCATGTCTACTAGTCTGTAAAAATATCCTTCTGAACACAGGACCATTTAGTCTTAAAAGACTCATGAATAAACAATTATGTGATGCATTGTTATAGTAATTAAATCAAACACCTAATGATTGTGGTCACATTACTTTTGTCTGCTTTAGCATAATTTTACATTCTTCCTTAGTTTATTTCTTTTGTGTACTTACCAAGAGCAGTTAGTCCTTCAGATATCGATGTAAATATATACATTAATACATGTGGCTCTAAGCTGGTGATGAAACTCATGTGATCCTGAGCTAGACACTCCAAAAGTGGGTAGTAAGATTGGCTTAATTTTCTATATTGCTTGGGATAGAAGAGAAAGAGAGAATATGATGCAATAAGAAATTACACGGCTTATTAAAAAAATTACTGTAATGAAACAGAGTTTTACCAATATTATCTACTGTATTTTTATATGAAAAGAAATGTATTATATTCTAGGCAGAATAAACCAAACATAAACCTGACACTATTCAGCCATTTTTTCTGCGAGCTACACAACAGAACGAAGAGCCACAATACAGTAAGGGGCTGAAATGCCCACTGGGAATCTAATCACAGACTGCTAGTAGAATTACAAAATACATATATCTGTGTATTTACTAACCCAGAAATTCCAAATGTATGTAATTATATGTACAGGTGTATAGCTGTGGATCTCTGCAAGTGCATTATTATATGAAAGAGAAAGGAAAACCATGCAGGGTTTCTAAATTGTAATTGAAGAGAGGGCAGAAAGATGCTCCCTTTACTGTATCAACCTAGTAAATCTAAAGTGAATGTATAACTATGCCAGGTGTATCCAAACATATTCGGGCCTGTATTGGCTTCCGTTGTGAAGTAAGTAAAAACTTTCTATTTTTAGAATTTTGATTCTAATAGTAAATTAGAGGCAAACTGAGGCAAACTGAACTTTAAAAAAATTCTAAGCCTTATCATTCTGAAAATATTACTTCAGCTCAAGAGAGATAAAAATTGATCAGGTCAAATATTTTGCAATAACTGAACTGGAACCCTCAACATTATGAAAATGGAAATGAAATTAATATTGAATAAAAGTTTCACAGCTGCTTACTAATGCTTATCCAGTTGTACTGTGCTGCCTATTTTGCATGTCCTTTCCCAAATATATTCTTTGTGGTTACTGCTGTATTTTGCCAAGCTATTTTGATATTTGTATGTAAAAATTCCAATAGTTCTAAATACTTCTCTCACAGTCACACTACCAATTGTGAAATTTTATCATTGTTATGCTTTGTTTTTATGTCAACTGAAGACAGTAAGATAAGATTCCCTAACAGGAGAATTAAAGTGGATACAATGATGCAACTAATCATAAGCAGTAATGCAACTCAGATGAAGGGGAGGAGAAAAATGTAAAAAAAAAAAAAAAAAGTAACAACACCCTTTTCTTCTGATTGCATTTCCCATTTCAGATGTTTGTATATCTCCTTTAATAATACTGTCATTGTTTCTCATCTGTTTGGGAACAGCTTTTGGGACATACAATCAAATAAACATGGCATCCAATGCTGTTTTATTGTTTGCCTTGGGAAACCTTGATTACTAATGAAATCTACATTACTTACATATGTACATACACACACACACACACACACACACACACACAATGTGTTAGATAATGTGTGTGTTAGATAATTAAAAATTATGGTTTTTAAAAGGTATTTATATATTTAATTTTCTTAAAAATTTGCTTGAGTAAAAGTACTGCAGAGAGAATTCCAAAAACCAAGGTAATTCCTATTAGACTAGGTGAAAATCAGTGCTATACAAGATGTACAGCTTATTTGATCCAGTGGTAAGGTTTTGGTCTTCAGAGAGTTCCCCCTCATTTGTCAGATACTAGTTTGTAAGACTGTCATTTTCATTAAAATCATTCCATGGGAGTTAATGTCAGAGGAATACTGATTGACAACATATCAGCAAGTTTAACTGACAATGTCAAAAACAATCCTACTCCAGGTTTGTGAATTATTAGCCACTTAGTAGATGATCTGTGACTGTCTTGATGACATATTATAAATATTTTAAAGTAAATATTCATAACTAGTTAATGAAACTACACATAATATTGTATGTGTAAGAACTACTAATGCATGCATGCAATTGAAACAAAAATAAACTGCACTTAAGTTGTTCTAGATTCCACTCTATCTTCATTTTAAGCCTGTGGTAGTAATACATAATTTGCATAAAGACTCCCAGGATGAATAATTTCTTACTAGCAAGTCACTGTGGGATACTGAAAGCAGCATTTTGACAAAGGCCTGAAGTACATTGTCAAAGTGGTTGTCCCCATACAACTTGAAGACGCCAAAGCTGACATAATTTCCACATAAGGCAGATTTGAGTGCAGAGTAACAGATGGAAATACCCTTGAGTTTCAATGGATAAATCTGATCCTTTGACAAAGTCCCAAGAGATAGGATCTGATTACCTGTTTGCAAGAAAGAAAAACAAAGAGAAACTGACATAAGTAACTGAAAAACCTGGAATCTGTGTTACTTAGCACTTTCACTTAACTGTTGCTTTTTATCATTACTGGAATATTTGTGCTAGATGATTATCAATGGACAGATCATGTGATCTGATGTACATCTAAGACAAATTAAGGGCGGATGTTATTCTGTGACTTGGACTATTTGATATTCCCTTGCTATTAAGTAGTTGTCACTGAATTGTGTACCGTATTTTTTGGACTATAAGACGCACCTAGCTTTTGGGGAGGAAAACAAGAAAAAAAAATATTCCTCTGCCTCTGCCTATCAGCAATTTGCCTCCTTGCAGCAAACAGCAAACAGCCTGGTCAGCTTCAGCAAATACTGATTTAGCATGAGCAGCTGATTGGCAGTTGGATCTGCCTCCCAGAATACCGCACATCAGTTGTTCCAGGCTGCGGGATCGCCAATGCCCATTGCCACTGTCGCCGCCCATCACCGCTGCCATCTATTGCCGCCTCTGTGGGCCCCATTTTCAGCCTCTGCGCGTCCTGTTTTCGGCCTCTGAGCATCCTGTTTTCGGGATGATGGGGATAGGCGGCGGCAATGACGCACAGTCATTTCCACCCACTTTTTTTTTGAGGGGGGGGAGTGTGTCTTATACACTGAAAAATATGGTAAGTTAAAGGAAAAGATTTATTTGCCGGGAGGGGTGGGGCAGGGGTAAAGCTTTTTAGTATCGGTAGTAAAAATGTGCCAAATTTAAACAGTATTTTAAGAATGAAAAAATAAGCCTTCTTCCATCTTAAGGCCAAATCTAGATTTGGCTAAATAGGAATTGGAAAAGTGTTTGACCTGAAATCAAAGGGAAATTGGATTATCTATTTGTTTATATATATGTAGACTATTTGTTTACTTACCAATAGAATCTCTGAAAGAGAACATTATTATCCAAACATCACTAATTTATCTATGTAGACATTTCACTTGTTTACACTATAAATGTAAGTCTGCCAATCCTTACATTGGTCCTTTTGGCAATATAATGATAATATAGTGCTAAAGATATATGGATATCAAAGATTACATTTCTGCATGTCCACATAGAGGTATTGGCTTTTATATTAGAAAGTACTGAGTGTGCCCCAGATCCTGTTTTATATATCCAGAGAAAATCACTTGAAACACTCTTACCCTAGCTTAGCCAACTATTGAAAATGAACTACCCTGAGACAACATATATCTCAAATGATGAATGTTTAGATTATTTTCTACTGCAGAATTTAATATAAGTCTTGTTTGGGGCTTTTCAGGTACTAGATGGATGGAATAGGCTAAAACTGGCACCGCCCACCCCCTCCTTAACATGACATTAGTTGAGATGATTTTGTCAGCTCTGGTACTATCCCTTGAGGGGGAGCAGGAGATCCTCCTGGTCATGGCTACTGGCTTCAGTGGGTGCACTGGCTGTAGTTGTTCTTCAAACAGAATATGGCTACACCAAATGAGGCACTTATCAACCAAGGATAGACTTCTGCAATATACTCTATACAGAAACAAAGAAAACAGACAGCAGAAAAGACCTAGTGGTCCATCAAGTCTGCCCTTTATTTTTTAAACTGCTTTTAAATTAGTTAATTCACTATTTTTAATTATTTTTATGTTTTATTAATTTTTTTATTTTTAATTTTTGTCGAATGATGGGCATGTGTTTATCCCAAATGTGCTTAAACTTAGTTACTGATGATTGATCCACTAGTAACTGAATTATGCGATTGCCTTTGAAGACCATTTAGAAACTATTAGAAACTTTAGAAAGTTGCCGTATTTTTATCTATATTGCAGGACCTGCATTGGTTATTAGTTAATTCCCAGATGCAATTACTTTATACACACACACACACACACACACACACACACACACACACACACACACATCTGACCAAAAAATCAAAATAGCAAAGTACAGAGGTAATCTAAAATTTAATGTTATGATAAAGTAGTTTAACAAATAAAATTGATAAATTTAAAATTCAATTTTACTGTTGTGCTACTAAAGACCTTGCTTTTATAACCATAGTAAAAAATTTGGCTATTACCTTTATAATGTTAAGATTTTTATGTGCAAGTAAAATTTTAACATATCTAAAAATATGTCTTCCTGACATTGATTTTAAAATAAGCTAGATAATATCCTACTGAAAGTTCACAATGCAATAAAATACGATTTACTGCATCAAGGTCAATACTATGACGGGGAGAGTTTTTGAGAGTTAGGGATCTTTTGAAACCTAGTGTTTAGTATATTTGATAGCAACACATTTAATCTGCATTTTGAAAAGACTATTATTTATTTAATTAATAATTTAATAATTATTTAATTATTAAATTAATTACATTAATTTAAATGTAAATTATTACAATGTATCATGAGCTGAAAAGTGTATTTGTAATTCACTGCATTAATCACAAGTAAATACGGAACTTTGGGCTTTGCCAATAATTCCTGTCCTTAATTATTCTATAATCTTTGTTTAATCCTATGAAATGCTGAAGTCATATCCTTGCAAAACAAATAATCAGGATTCATACCAATGTGATCAATCTTTTGGGTCACCTGTTTAAACGACATACCTACATAGGAATCAATTGGGATTTCTTGTAGCAGTCCTTCCTTGTTTTTGAAAACGTATGCTTGAACCCAGTGGTGGGATTCAAATTTTTTTACTACCGGTTCTGTGGGTGTGTCTTGGTGGGCGTGGCATGGCTTGGTGGGCGTGTCTTGGTGGGCGTGTCAGGGAAAGGATATTGTAAAATCTCCATTCCCACCCCACTCCGGGGAAGGTTACTGCAAAATCCCCATTTCCTCCCGATCAGCTGGGACTTGAGAGGCAGAGAATAGATGGGGGCGGGGCCAGTCAGAGGTGGTAGTTACCGGTTCTCTGAACTACTCAAAATTTCTGCTACTGGTTCTCCAGAACTGGTCAGAACCTGCTGAATACCACCTCTGCTTGAAGCCAAAACTTAATAGTTCTTAGCTAAGCTTTTGCTTTCAAAGAGAACTGCCCGATTTCCAGGAGAACTAGAGAATGTGGAACACAACTTAACATTTAACAATTTTATTTGCTGTTGAGTTACTGAAATGCAATTTTTGCATTAAAAAGCTGTATTGCTAAAGGGATAATACAAGGCCTTCATAGTAGCTTTTCAAAATTACTGCCTTACAATGATGTTGCCAGGACAGAGCATGGTTAAATAAAATGCAAAGATAATTAACATTCTCCACTTGTGTATTCATACGATTTTGAATTTTCTAGTTATACTGTCTGATTTTTTTCTCAACCCCCCCCCCCACATATTTTAGTTTTATTCTATTTGATTTGTAATTTATTATTTTGGCAATATTTGACTAGCATCTCAAGTAGGCATTTCAAACCCAATCTAATACTTGGAAGAAGAATTTTCCATTTGGTTAATAATGGACAGTGGTCATCAACATATATAATAAAGTTTCCAAATCATTGACTTACATATTAAATAGTGTTAGGGACAGAATACAACCATATTTCACACCATTATTCATTATTTTGTTGCTTATAAGTACACTTTTTCTGTTGTAACTAACATCCATTGTTATTATTATGATGGTTGGTTGCACAGTCAGTCAGATATTTAAACTGGATTTGGCATTTTTATCCACATATCGTGCCCTTTCCAAGGAGTGATGTGCAGATGATGTGGTTTAATATTATTATAATATACAAAAAATATGAAATCACAGCCTTTAAGTTGGTGTTGGCATCAAGTTCCCAAGAATTCAGATGTCGTAATATACCAGCATAGTATATATGCGGATCCAAGCAGTGTGGCCTTTCCTAATTGAGAGATGGAAATTTTGACAATATGCAGATTTTCTAAGTGCCATCCAACTTTTTTTGGTATGGCACTCGATGTGCCATACTAAAATCGCTGTGACCACAACAGTTACGGTAGTTTATCTTTGAATTCCTATTTGGAGATCTTGCTACTTTGTGATCTTCTCCAATTCATTGTCTTCTATTTTATTCTATTATTCTAGTCTTGCATTCTTTCTCTTTTGTTATTATAGTTGATTGCAATTAGTGAGATGTTTAGGCTGGATTTGGCATTTCTATCTACCTATAGAATCCTTTCCCAGGGCAGGTGGATGCTACTTGATGGTGTTAAAGGTATCACCACAGGATGTAAGGTGTTCAAATAAAGCTGCCTCTTGCAAATGACCGACAGTGAGTTTGTCAACGCCAATCATATTCAAGTGGTGTTCCAGGTATTTTGGGATTGCATCTCTAATTATTATTGTTGGTTACACAGTCAGCCAGATGTTTAGACTGTGCATGGTATTTTTGTCCATCCTTTGAGTCTTTTAAAACGACCTGGCATTATTATTATTAATCAACTCAAGATGATGATTATACCTTAATACTGCCTCCCATTTCCCCCACAAGTCCTGTGAGATGGGCTGAGAGAGAATGAGGGCCCCGAAATCACCCAAGCTGGCTTTCATGACCAATAGCATTAGACTATTTTAATGTAACACCTGTATTAAGTATGTGAGAAGTATATCTGGAACTAAATTCATTAATTTAACCCAGATTTAGTTTTATTAACAGAATCAAAGAAGGCTCTTAAAATCTATAAAGGAAGCAAATAGTTGTCTTGCCAGGTAACATGGATAAATTGTTGATCTGCCTTTTCTAAAAGCAGCTTGAGCATTTGTTAAAACAAAGTACTCTTCAAGGTACAACTTTAATTTTTCATTTAAATGTCTAGCATAGAGTTTTCCCAGGATTGAGAGCAAGTTAATCGGCCTATAGTTAACAGAGTGTTCCATTTTCCCCTTCTTATATGGGAGAACTATTATAATCCCATTCCAGCCTGAGAAGATTAACTTGGAACTATCTGCAATAGAATAGCAATAGCAATAGCATTTAGACTTATATACTGCTTCACAGTGCTTTAC